GTTGATTTTCGAGTTCATGCGAGGTTCTAAAAAAATGTTTGTTTTTCTTTAGAGTGCTTACGTTTCATCGTGATTCACGGTGGCAATTAAAGAAAAAACACTTACGTTCGCACAAGAGCCTGCCCACTAATGGCATGTCGTTGCACCATCGGAATAACGTTTTCGTCAACAAAATGGATTGCTTTATTGAAGAGTTCAGGCTCCAAATCCTGATAATGTTCGAGTCTGCTGATTAAATCTTGTCGAGCATGGATACCAATCCTTGACGATAAGGGGATGTGAGCAATCGCGTCGTACGTCGTATGATCTACGAACGAATGCAATAAAAAGTATCAGCGTCTTAAATTTTGATGGTAACTGTCAGCATTCGATGGTGTGAATGACATACCAAGTTCAAGAGAACTTTGATATTCGAATTCTTTAAGAATTATGTGCATCACTTCATCAATCGTCCCAATGGCATTGATGAGATCTAGTCATTGAAAAGGTGATAAATGTTAACAGAAACCTTTTGAATCTATAAAACAAGAAATGATGACTTACGGAATGGAAATAATTTTCCAAGTTTCATCAAAGCTCCGAAATTCTCTTTGAAAATTCGATAGCGTGCTCGAATAAGCTAAATGAGTGAATGAATGAGCGCGTGTATGAATAATTGATTGATTATAGTTATCTAACAAATTCAACATCATATATGCTCGTTCATAACTTACCATTTCATCGTAATCTGTGACTCGTTCTTCCAAAAGTATTCCTTGTCCTGTTTTTCGAACTTGCGCATTGCGTTCTCTAATTTTTCTTCCTCGCGCTAATTGACGAGCCACGGATACATCCTCGTCGACATACAAGACACAAATGCGGAACGTAGGTCGGCTATATCGATTCCGAATAGTATTTAGTACAAATCATTAAATTGACTTCTTAATTGAAGGAAATGATATATACGGGAATTTGTCCTGCATTGGTGTTTTCCAGAACTCCCGGCGCACTTCATGCATCTTGTCATACAA